CCTTTTTCCCTTATGAATCCTTACAGTTACCTCTGGCAACTTCATCAAAGAGACCATTTCACCTTTAATGTCACGTTACAAAGAAAAACATACCCTGGCATTCCAATTTCAGTGCCGACAATGAAGAAAGTGCCATTGTCCTCCTGTTTACAAGATCACCACCAGGTAATAAGCAGTCTGTAGCGTTATGAAACAAAAAAGCTGCCCTGCCAGAAAGCATGCAGGTTTATTTCCTTTTCCTTGCCCGCTGCCACTGACAATTGGACAAACATTTTTAAAGGATCCAGCAGCTCCCCCTCAACCACTTGAAATACACTTGTCACAGTAACCTATAGACTATGGTAGGTGTAGATGCTATCGCAAACTAGTTTGGTTTGACCCTGTGGTATCAGGCAATACTGACCTTATCAGACCTTTCCTCCTGGAAACTTGCAGCTTTGCAAGTTGGACCCTCTTCCCTAGTAACAGGCAAACACAATGCAAGCTCTTTCCTCCAAACTAGGAACAGAAAATGATGTTATTTCCTACAGTTTGCTCTGGGAGAACTACATAGCAACACCCGATCATTGCACCAGAAATGAGAAAAACTGAAGTTATTTACTAATATTTTATTTGAAAAAATTATTACAAAATATTTTAGGAAGTTCTTAAGACCAAAAAAAGCATAATACATTTAAAAGGACCACAGATTCAGAATGGAAAAAATATTTAGGCACTTCAAAATTATTTAAATGGAAATTCAAGGCAACACTGGCAACAAGACTGTATAAAATTTTTATTTTATATATATTAAACTACTGTATTACCCTGATTTAATAATCATTAAAAGTCACTTAAATTCTCAAAGGTATTAAAAGTGATAGATAGTTCTGAACAGCACAAAATTTAACATCTAGAGATCTGCTTATGTTTACAGCAGTAGACTAAAATAAAGATGAATTTTCATCTTAAAGGAACTACCAGCATCTTGATTTGTTAAAATTGTATATAACCTTTCAAAAATGTCACAAAGTATTTCCCTTCAGTGTAGAAAGCTTGGTATTTTTATTGCACAAATTGGAATGAGGATCACCAGGACGGCCATTATGCAAAAACATCTTGTGCAGAGCTCAGAGAATTATGTGAGACAGCTCACTTCTTCAAGTTGGAGAGTGCAAAGGTAGAAGTTAATTGTAATGGACCACAACCCTTCCCTGCTATTTTTCAGCACAGTGTGCAAGCAGTTCCTTCAGAGTGTGCAAGCAGTTCCTTTACACAGTTTGAACCCAAAGGGCACTGGTAGCATTGTGATTTTGATGCAGGCCAAACACTAAAATTAACTTTCATGGTCTACACAACGCACATACAGACTTTCAGAGCAGAAACTTACAGTCCAGCCACTTAACAGCAAGTACTCACATGTCCTGGAGAATACCCTGCACTGATTCTTAAGGCACTGTAAACAAAGCCTGAAAGTGGGTGCACAGCCTCTAAATATGTTTTGGACAGGCTCAACTGGAAAAGATGAAAGCTTTTGATGTGTCTGAGCAGGCTCTCAACACCACTTCCAGACACCATGGTGAAGGAGGGAGAAGACTATCCCTATGTAGATATACCAGGCCAGTTGCTTCTTTCCACAGGTTTTACTACCAGTTAAGATTGTACAGAGATGGTTGCTTTGCAAACAAAAGATTTTACTCTATAAAACAACTGCTTGTTAACAGCACTTGTGCCAGAAGTTCCACCACTCTCCTGAACAATCCCTAATCCACATTAGTCAAAATCAGCCAACTTAATGTAAGCAATTTAAATAGCTGGTTTAAATAAAGCAGCCTGATTTCATCAGAAACAGGCTGGGAACCAAGCAGACTGCTTTGCTGACAGAGCATGGGATGGGTGAGAGACATCCAGCCACAAGCGCAGAGCTCCTGCAAAATGAGACGTTTAATCCGGCTCCAATGCCGTTCTCCGGGATCAGTCTAATTAAAAGACACTCAAAACCTGGATCCAAGTCTGCTCAGCTGCTGCAGCAAGGAAGTCTCTCCCCCGCATAGCCTGGGAGGGCAGAGGCGTTAGGAGGGACGCACACCTGCTCCTTTATCTTGGGAACCTGATACAGCAGTTAAGGAAACGACCTTCCAGAAGCAGAGAACAGCATATACACCAGCAAACCCGCTTCACAACTGTTTGAAAACAGGACAAAAAGAACACCTCATGTGTACAAACCTAAGATTAATAGTAGCACCATGCAGAAACTATTTTGTTAGCCAACAACTGGTTTGGAAGAAACAATTTAGCAATTGCCTTAAACCGATAACCACTATGTGGTTCATCTGCTCCTAGTATTTAACTACTATGTGACAGATTAATGCCAGCTAGACAGTATCTGGGATGGAGCGCTATGTAAAGCTTTACAGAACAGCAGGACTTCTCCTATCAGTAAATGCCTGTGGCATATGTGAAAGCAACTAACTGGCTTCCCAAAGACTACTGTTTGTCCTTTTCATTTGCTGATGGCAACACTTGCCTCCCTTTCCATAAGAGATGGAATCTGATCCTCAAATCTGTGCATGGATCAGTCAGTCAGTGAAAATGGGTATAAAGTCCTAACTGCAGCAGCTAAAATGAAAACAAAAACATGACAAAAGCCACTCATTCTAACAGCCTGAAATATGCCAGGGATGCCAGGATGTACATAGCAGGAGAATCCATAAAATCATCCTGCAGAGGTTGGCAGTATTTGTTTCAAAAGGCCTAACAGATCATGGGAGTCAGAAGATCTCAGTCAAAGTCACTTCTTCTGACACCAACTCCTTGTGGCACCTTTTCATTAAAATAACTTGCTCTGTACTTCAGTTTCTCTGTTAAGTATCAGGAGTAGATAGGAAGGCCAAGGTAGAGAGATGACTTTACAGATCTCTTTTGGTACCAGTGTCTCCAATTCAGGAGTGGACACCAATAACAAACCATCTGGGTGGGGAAAAGTCTAGAGAAAAAACAACCAAAACGCAGAACTCTATTCACATATTTTCAAGCTGAGAGAAATAATAGGAAAAATCACCTCAAGTTAGAAGTCCCGCCATGATGCTGCACTGCCTAATAAATATCAGCAGCATATTGTTACTCCTATACTATATTTACAGCATTTAATTATAGATCCAGATTTAGAGACTACAGACATTTTGATGTGAAAACAAATTCCGTAGAATTTCCAATAACATTGCTTGTAAACAAAACACCTCTAATCTTCCCAGTTTTCAGAGACAGCTACAGCAAACTCCGTACACCTACACTGAGATCAGGTTTTAGTGCAAATGGACACTAACAAATACACAGGAAAAAAAGCCAGTCCAAAGAGCATTTCTTCTTCACAAAGCAGGAAATTCTATGAAGGAAAGTATTCCTTTTATGCATGGCTCTGAAACCAAGCTACAGCTTAAACTTGATGCTTCACACCACCTGTCAACATTTGACATCCTCCAAGCAAAGTGTAGTGTTAGGCTTAAGTCTTAGAGCTTAGAGAAAGAACGTCACAAACTCACATTCTTCAGAAAGTGGCAGTGCTGGAAAAAAATTTTGACCTTCTTTCACAGTCCTTTTCCAAATAAAGCTTGCTCAGCCCACTTCTGGAGGGCTTAGTCTCAACGCTGCCACAACAGGTTACAGGACTACAAATCTGTCACACTAGGGTACTGATGAAATGGAGTTAGTGCCTGGAAGACAGCAAATATCATGAGCACTCAAACAAGAATTGTTTTTGCATAATCAGCTTTTTCTCATTTGCGTTGGTATTTTGGAACATCTCCCTGCTTACAGCAATTTGCCCTACTTTGGAAGGCTTTCCTCTTAAGTGAAGTTCAGCAGTCTTGCTTCTACCTCAGACATCTGAAAAAGGCCTTTTCACCACTTCATTTCTTTTACACCCATCAACATCTGGTCTGATATGTCTGTCACTTGTCTGATACATGCACTAGTAGTGTTTCTTGCAGTCCTACAGCCTGTCACTTTTAAGAAAAATCAAGGGTACAAGTGCTTATTTACCTGTTTCCCAACTGACATAGTATCAAGCTACTGCCATATTTATAAACAAAGAAAATGGCAGGGTCCATAACCATCCTGGCAGAACTTACCATTTACAATGCATAAACATGCTGCATATGGTATTAACCTTGCAAGTAATATTTACCAATGTGAATAGTACTGACATGCTGTAACTTTTTTTGCATCGATGTGCAGATTGCCACTTTTTGGATTACTTTGTGAAAATACTGATTCTTCATCTTTTTCCTCTTCTGGTGGGCTTTTCACGTTTCTTCCTGCAACTTTCATAGCTTTCGAAACAATCTGAAAGAAGATTCTGGCATACAAGTCCAAACTTTGATGATCATGGGGTGCAAAACTGTCTCCTTAATACACCATTACATTACCTTCCCCATAAAATCCCTACACTTGTTATTCCATGGATTACACTGATCTCCACAGACAGAACTGAGACATGTAAGTAGTAAAAACCAAACAAAGCCCCTTACATAAAGATAAGCATTTCTTTAAGGCTTCAATTAGATATCCCTTTTACATTCACAGTTTGATCAGTAAGTACAAGAACGAATTCTCCTGCGTTAATTTACAACTCATAACAGAAGCATCCAGTCCATTTATACAGAAAATATCTTTAGGGTACAACTCAGAATTTATGCATCACACATTAACCTTTATTAGTCACCTCTGTCAAAAATCCAATCAGCACACTGTTGTCTTTAAGTTATTCTATTTAAACACAAGTTTTTTTAGTGTATGTCACCTGGACAGGTGGCAGGACCCGTTATTAAGCAGGATCTTAGAAGCAGTTACCTTAGAAGATTATGCTTAAGATGCCATTACTTGACCTAAGGATTGATACAAATTTGTGATGAGCAATGTGTACAGAATTGATTAGAAGGAGGAGACAGAAGTTGCTACCTACAGTGCACTGAAAGTTCATTTTACTTTGCTCCATTCAAAAGAAAAAAGATTCCAGAAAGTTAGCTTTGTTTATTCAGTGGCTGATTTTCTGTGGCACCCTGAGTGTTGGCAGGATTTTCAGAGCATCCGTTAATGTTTCGTTTCCGACTGTGAAAATACTCTGTAATAATTTCAGCCAAAAATGCACCACTTGCAAAAAATCCAAACACCTGTGAAAGTGAAAAGAACATATAATTTTAAAATATACAAACATTAACAGTATTCTAACATTGTTTGGAGAGATTTCACAGAATCATAGAACATACTGGGTTGGAAGGGACCTTTAAAGATCATCCAGTCCAACCCCCTGCAGTGAGCAGGGACACTGTTACCAGGTCAGGTTGCTCAGAGCCACATCAAGCCTGACCTTGAACATCCCCAGGGATGGAGCCTCCACCACCTCTCTGGGCAACCTGTTCCAGTCATCTGCCACCCTCATACTGAAGAACTTTCTCCTAATATCCAACCTAAATCTACCCTTTTGTAGTTTAAAACCATTACCCTTCATCCTACTGTTACATGCACTCGTGAACAGCTCTTTCCCAGATTTCTCCTAGGCACCTTTCAGGTATTGGAAGGTTGCCATAAGGTTCCCCTGGAGTCTTCTCCAGGCTGAACAACCCCAGCTCTCTCAGCCCATTATTTGCTGGACTATTTACACATGTTAGTAACACACATACATTAAGATTACAGTCCTCCTTAAATAGATCAGAAATCATAATTCTAGCACATGTAATGCAAAATTTTTTACAGTTCTCATTCTCTTAATCAAGCCTGAACTGTACAACATGTTCTAATCAGCCCTTAATAGTAAAAGTATATTCATTCTATTGCAAAAATTAATTATTAAAGAAGCATGGCATTGGTGGTATAAAGTATTTATCCAAGAGATGGCTGCTGATTCAAGGGACTAAGAAGAAAAGTAACATATGGAAGATAAGATCTGCAGAGATAAGAGAGAGAGAGATAAGGGAGGTAAAATCTGCAGAGCCTAAGCAAGTCCTTACTGGCTCAGCAAGGGGGGATGAAATGACATTTTGTTAATGACATTTCATTATTAGTCATGGCAAGATAGCAATAAGGAGAAGGTTGGTTTCAGCAGCTTCTTTCAAACATGGAAGCACATGCATTTTTCTAACTTTTACCTAAATTTTACACAACTAGTTTGCCCCAAAGCTTTCTTTTCTAACTCCTTTTCTCATTCAATAAGAAAATAAAAATTTGATCTTTTAAACCCACATATTCACAATCCCAAGGTTATTCTAAAGAAGTGCGGAATTACGACATGCACAGCTTCCCAAAGCCTCTTCAGTGCCTTGCCCTGAGCCTCTCCAGTGTTCCCTGGGAGCTGCATGCCCTGTTGCTCTTCTAACTCTTTCACTGAGGAAACTGCTGCTCTTATTACAGCCTTTGCAAGTCAGCATTTTCCACATATGCTTTATAATGCCTGGCAAAAGACATGGTTTCTTGCCAACTTTGTGAGATGGTGGTATCATGGAACGACAATTGAAGAAAAAAGTAGGTGTTTCAGAGAAAGGCTATCAGAGAACTAGGGGAGCTGTGGCTGAGGGCAACGTCAGAACAGTGACAGATGATAGGGAGTAATACAGAACCAAGACAGTTAAGTTTGAGAGACCCAGAAGCAAGCCACAAACTTGGACAAGAAATTAACATACAAGGTAAATACAAAGTAAATAATGTGATTTTAAGACTTACGCATGCAGCTTTTTCAAAAGCAAGTCCAAAGCTGGTCGCAGCAAACACTACTGATGCTAATACAAAAACCACACCTACGCCTAGCACTGCCCAAAAATTCTGCAAATATATAAAAAAAAATGTTACAGAATTGTAGGTAATACTACCTGAAAAAGAACAAGCATCATAACAGCAGCTGAGTTAATTTGCCAGTGAATTTATGCTTTGAAACTCTGGTGCTACCTGGAGCTTCAGAAAATATATTTTACAGCTATATTCCCAACAACAATCAACGTTATAAACTATTTAAGGTTACGTTGTTTTTGTCTTCTTAAAGTATTTAATTAATTTCATCTAACTGCTTTCACAGTCAAATTCAGGCTGAAGTCAAGTATGCTAGCATCATTCCCTATGTAAAACACCTAGCAAATCAGAAACCTGTAAGTAAACGTGCTCATTCACATCTCTTACTACACTCCCTTATCTGTACCTTGACGTAAAAAAACCCTGCTGTTTGCTCTGAAGACACATAGGAAGGGACGCTCATAAGACACTATAATATTCTTACCGATGTTACAGAGCAACTTTGTGCCACTGCTTTATCTTCTGAAAGATAAGAGCATGAGCTGTATCAAGTATGGTAACTGCCAAAAAGGAGGTAGACTACATCTAAGTAGGAATACAGATACGGTAAACAGGCAAGGTACAAGTATCAGGCTGGCAGTAAACCGTGTTCTGTATACGTACACATATGCAATGACTATGCCAGTAGTATTAGTCTGCATGAAAGACTTCCACACAAGTCCTAAAATCCTGCAGGTAACTAGCATGATAATTTTGGAAAAGTTGTCAATATAAAAGGGATTCTCAAAGTTGACTCATTTTTTTAACTAAACTACTTGAATCTGCCCTTCAAATAGAGAAGAAAAGGACATTCATTCTGCATAGCCTTTTTATCCACAGTAGTCTTCAAGTACTTGCAAGAAATGGTTTGGTTTAAAAAAAAAAAATTCCTTACCACTTTCTGTACTTTATCTTCACCCAGTGTTTCATACACATCAGTACAATACAGACACAAGATCAAGAGGCTCAAAAGAAAGGCACTGCAGCTTGTGAATTCAAAGAAATAAAGTCCACCACATGCAATACATTCCTCCACAATTTCTTCAAAAATAAAAGCCAGAAGAGAGAGAACCTGCAAATAAAAAAAATGCTTGAGTTGGATCTAATATCTCCAGCAAATAGACATTGCTGATATGAACATTAATAAAGACAGCTGTAAGGAAAATCCTCAGTCTACAACAAACCTAGTAAAATTCTGCACTAATTTCTTATAGGCAGAAATAATTCTACAGTGACACAGTTTACACCTGCTGTTAAAGTTGGTCAACAAACTACACACATGTAAGCTGAGCACACACCTCAAGTAGACAGTGAGGATTCTTGATTTGTGGTTTTGTGCAATTGCCAGTTGGAACATGCTCTATTGCTTACTACTTACAACTGCACTTAATTTTAAATGAATTTCAGTTCAGCGTGGAGGAGGAAACTGGATGGCATTGACACCTCCCTGTAAGTTCACAGCCGATGCTACCTCGCTTGATAAACTTCAGTGAAAGTACGTGCAGCTCATAGTTCATGTGCTTGTGACCCAGTAACAACAGCAGCTTAGCTGTGCTTGTAGGAACCAAAACTTAACCTATGTTTAAGCTATGTTAGACAGTGTTTAAGCTATGCAGAAGTTTATGTTCATCTTCCTGCCACAATATGTTTTGAGGAAAGAACATGAGTTAATTCCTGTACAGTAACCACACATCTGCTGCTGGATTTTCTACTATTTTATTGGACAAGAAAGAATACTGCATTATTTAAATGTTCTCTCATTTTGGCCACTTCTTGCTAGTTTCGTCCATCCCATAAAGCTGACACAGGATTACAGATCCATGTGGTTCACCAAATAAAACCAAAACCATTAGTAGTTATCAGACTCAGTCGTAAAATGGAGACTGATACAAGGATCACAGAATCACAGAATATTAGGAGTTGGAAGGGACCTCGAAAGATCATCCAGTCCAACCCCCCTGCCAGAGCAGGATCACCTAGACTAGGTTGCACAGGAACACGTTCAGGTGGGTTTTGAACGTCTCCAGAGAAGGAGACTCCACAACCTCTCTGGGCAGCCTGTGCCAGTGCTCTGTAACCCTTAAAGTGAAAAAGTTTTTCCTTATGTTCAGGTTGAACCTCCTGTGTTCCACTTTTCTCCCATTTCCCCTTGTCCTGTCATTTGACATCAGAGAGAAGAGCCTGGCTCCTTCCTCCTGACACTCGCCCTTTACAAATTTATAAACATGAATGAGGTCACCCCTCAGTCTCCTCTTCTCCAAGCTAAAGAGACCCAGCTTCCTCAGCCGCTCCTTGTAAGGGAGATGCTCCACTCCCTCAATCATCTTCCTCCAGCTCTGCGCTGGACTCTCTAAAGCAATTCCCTGTCCTTCTTGAACTGAGCGAATGATGACCCTATTTTTAATACGACTGTATGGGAAATTATGAGATTGACAGTTCTTCTTTAAAAAAAAATTAAAAACTTCTTTCTAAAATTCAGAATTGTTATTTTTCAGTTATTAGCAACTGCAGATGCTTCATCTGCACCTTATTCTTGGAAAACAACCACCAGCCTTCGGTTTCAGTTTTGTGACAGTAAAAATAAGAACAGCAATTTAGCATCTGGGAACCATAAATTCCCCCCGCTACGCCACACCTCAGAAGGGCACTTCAAAACATCATGGTTTGAATATCCTGCAATTATACAAAGTAAACAGGATCTCAGAGACAGAAAGAACCTGGGCTGGAAAACTGCAGTATTGTATCAGGCCTCCACACACTTCCCTTCTCTCCCACAGCGGCTCGCAAGGCAAACTTCTCAGTATTCTTTGCACCTAAAACACTGACTACAATCGTCATCCCAGGAATGGTTTGAACTCTGAATTTCCAATTTTTAAGGGACTTTTTTTTGCGTTTTAAAAGATTTGCTTACAGCTGCATCCAATGACTTTAAATTTCACGTTTTCCACAAGGTCAGCTAAAGTGTGAGACACTTTTTCATGTATAGTTCTAGCTCTTTCTGTCAGCACTGAAAAGTGAATGCCATCACTTTCACCTGGGATGAAACAGAACAGAAAGTAAATAAACCTGCCCTTGAAAGAATTTATATGCCCAGATATTGATAACATGATCTAAATAACTGACAAAGCCCTCTCTGCTGAGTGTACAAACAAGTAGGAAAAAGGACACACAAAAAGTAGCTATAAAGGGCTCAGTGTCAAATAAATGAGATTTACCAAGTGGAGTCCTACGTGGGACATGTCCAAGTCAATAGTCAATTTTTTATTAAGAGGCTGAATAACAAAAGAGAGTACATCATTAAAAAACTTTGGCTTGAAGAACTTTGATCAAAGTAGTGTACCAACAGCACATTTATCAGTTGCCATAGAGTTCTGCTTGGGTTTCTTATCTTGCTTCTTGAAACCACTATGAGAAACTAAAGGGATTATTACTCTGTTGACCTACTACAAAAAAACCAAACAAACCAACCAACCAACCCAAAAAAACCCAAAAAACCCCTTAAATGCCACTGAAGAGTAGTTCCTAACTTCAGTTTATATAGTTACAGCTACATAACATAGCAAGTAGTTTTTTCCTAGCCGAAAGATTATTGACTCTATTATTCATCTGCATTCTAGTAACATCCCAATCTTAGATACAGTATAAATACATGAGCCGCTTTAAACAAGTCAGGGGATCCCACATTTCATTCAGCTTCCCAAGAACTGTTCTGCTAGAGATCCACCTTTGTCCACCAGCGTTAGTCCTGGGATAAGTGCAGACCTCTAAAGGCTCGCATGAAGAAGCCCAAGCTCCTTCTGTTTTATTTGTACATCTGCCTCCTCCACACCTATCCCATGTATCCCTAGCAGCCAATGCCCAGAATATGACTACTGCTATTGTCTGAGCTGTCAGTAATGAGTGGAGAGGGGCAGCTCGGTAGTTCCTCACTTTCTTGAGAGCTAAAACCTTCTGGGCAGGTTTTCTTTCACCCTGAAGCCCAGGGTAACACTTGAAGACAAAAGCAGGCAGCTGCCACCTTTCTCCCCTCTTGCCATATGCATGCACCACTTGCTATCCTGTGTGCTGTAAAGGGAAAAGCATCGCTGGAAATGCAGTTCATCTTTTTTTTTTTAATTATTAGTCCTATCTGTCTGTATGTACACCAGAAATTAAACATCTTCATCTGTCCCTTACCAGCAAGAAGTTATTCATTGATACTGACATTACCATTGGAAGTTTCTACACAAGTGTCAAGCTTCTAGATTTCATAAGCGAAAGGCTACAAAAGAATGCTACAAAAATAAAGGAGATGGATGAAGTTTCCAACAGGCCTGGGAAAATGCTCAGCACTGGTACTCCCAGCACAAAATCTTCTCATTCAGATGGCTGCCCATATTAATTCTGTAAGTCTGCACAATCAGGGCTGCTATAGGAAGTCAGTAGCTCAGAAAAAGAGCAGATGTTTAAGACTGAATTACAATTTTCCTTTCCAGCTAGGGCATTTTTGTTAAAGTCAAACAATAGTTCACGACAAGTATTTCAGCTTTAGGTAAGAAGTCATTTCTACCTCAATCTTGGCACAATATGTGCTGTGCCATTTACCTTTGTGCAGAATTTGAACCAGTCATGGACTAACAGAAACGCTCCACCTATATAAAAAATAAAATTTAAACAAATTCTAGAAATCCCTGCAATAGGCATGCTTCCCAGCATCCTTTTAGCAGTTACATTTTCCTTATTTTGTTCCCTCAAAAAGCTTTACTAAGGCAGGCTAAGATTACAGTGTATGCCATTATTAATCAGAAAAACATTTCTAAGGTCTAGAAACCAGTTTTCTGCAGGTGAATTCACAGTATTTTGTAAAATACTTGATCACTTCTATAATGAAGACAGCTGATTTTCTGAGTGCAATAGCCTGTTGAGCAGTCCACACCTGTGACTATCAGTGCATAATCCCGTAACAACTCACAACCACCACTGTACCACAAGGCTGAGAGATGTTAATGACCATCACCATCACTGGTGTTTCCAAAGATCAACACTTTCCCAAAACATCAACATTCCTCTTACTGGAGTTACTGAGGCTTTCCCCCTTCTGTAATTTCTGGTGTTTGTTTAAAGTGCTTTGACCAAGAACTCCAAGATCTCTGCATTTTGGTAAACAAAGAGGAGGGAAAAACTTTTGAAAATTATAAGGCTGAACAACTCTAATTCCATTTTCTCTTTACTCTTGTTATAGGACAGGAACAGGCCATAAACTGCTAATTCTTTAGGAGCGTATCAAGCAGCTATCCATCCTGTTTCAGGTAATCATAATTTTCCTTCTTCCAACCTAGAAAGCTCTTTAAATAATGCCTCTTTTCAGGTAAACGGTTTAAGACTTTGATACACCAGTAAATTAATATATGTAATAGTTTATTTTAGTGACTGAACCTACTTATATAAATTATCTCCTTCTTCTCTGGGAGCAGCAGCCAGCAGATCTTACTTTATTAGTCTCCAGTAGATGGAGTAAAAGTTTATGTCCTATATTTATTTATTTAAAGTACTCTTGGGTGTGATTTTTTTTCTAAACACTTAGAACACATTAGTTTTGACAGTGTTACAGTTACCTTTACCAGCACTCAAGAACCTTATGTTTATAGTTGAAGGTTTTTTCACTGTGTGCGAGACGAAGGTTAAAAAACAAACGTCCCCTTTTCTGCAATGGTGAAGTAATGAGAAAGGGTTGGAAATCACCTACCATTCCTGTGAACATGAGACATCTGACTAAAAAGCCACTTTGTTGGATGGAAAATGCACCCTGACACACATTTACAGTCAGCCACGCTTTCCCACTGTCGGTTTCACTACCTCCCTGCCAGCACGTAAGAATGATGCTCCTCGCGTCCTTATCACCACAGTCGCACTGGCACATTTTGGAAAAGCCCATGGCCGAGCACAGAACAGGGGTCTGAATGGGGTGCTCAACTGCTGCATGCATTCAGGAATAATGTTACATGTAGCAAAAAGCAAGCAGAATAGAAACCTTTTATTTCCTGGTGGGTGCAGGACTGCCCAACATGAAGTGATGCACTACCATGT